AGAGAGCAAACTGGTCAAGCAATGGCTGTGACTCATCCACATGACTGACACTGACAAAAGATCTACAAACTGCGTACAGGGTTTCAGGGTAAATCCTGAGGGAATTTGACTGACCTTGGCAGATACAAAAGTTACATTTCTTGTTATATAGGTCTTGTTTTATCTTGGTCCTAACTGTCGAGCAGAAAAGTATAAAAACAAGGTATAAAAAGTAAAGCCACATTAATATGCTGAGCTGTAAAAGGCTGAAGTCAACAACTTCTGACATTGCCAGTCATGCAGATACCCCACTATTATGAACTACTGGACTATATTGGATTATTTTTCTGAATTCTTGCAATACAATATTTGAATGGAAATGGAATACCCATCTCTGATAAAACTAAACAAAAAAAAAGAGCATATAAATGAAGGACCATTTTGTATCTTTGTATACAAAATAGGATAGCTATACAGCTACTTTCTCTTAGTTCAATGAGAAGAAAGATTTGTACTAATAGTGTTTAGATAAGATAACATGTCCACATCAGGTACTATGAGTAACTACTACAAAGACAAAAATATGCAACGTGTTAATTATTGTAACTGTCCTACTAACCTGTTTTGAAACTCTCACTGCTATTTCTCAATAAAATTAATTTGTAAAAAAGAAATTCCACATTTCTTTCATCCATTTCTCAGTTGATGGGCATTTGGGTTATTTCCAAGATTTATCTATGACAAATTGTGCTGCTATAAACATGGGTGTACATGTATGACTGTCGTACAACGTTTTCAGTTCATTTGGAAATTTTATACCCAGGAGGGGAATAGCTGGGTCGAATGAGACTTCCAATCCTAGCTTTCTGAGAAATCTCCACTGATTTTCATAGTCATTGTACTAGTCTACACTCCAACAGTGGAGAAGGGTTCCTTTTTCCCCACAGCCTCTCCAGCATTTGTTATAGCCTGACTTCTTGAGTACAGCCATTCTTTTCTTGGATGAGATGGAATCTCAGTGTTATTTTAATTTACATTTCTCGAATGACCAATGATGTAGAACATTTTTCATTTATTTATTTGCCATTTGTATTTTTTCATTTGAGAAGTGTTTATTAATATGAGATGCCTATTTTTTGATTGGGTCTTTGAATTTTGGGGTCCTGATTTCTTTTAATGCTTTATGTCTTCTACACAGAAGTCCTCTGGCCAAAGGACAGTAAATGTATAGAAAAGTAGACATATCTAATTAAGGTTTCCATTTTTTTACAGGATAGATTACAGAGACCTCTATTTGGGGTTTTGAGTATAAGCCCCAAATTGTCTTTTTGCTTTTCTGTCATTCCCTTTATGTATATGAGGAAACTTCTTAGGCAAGGCTCTGGTCATATATCATTTGTTACTATCAAAACTCATGATTATTCCCAACAGATTTAGTTCACTAGAAAAAGAGAGCTCAGCTGCGGTCCCAGGGCAGCATCTCAGTGTGACCAGGTAGCATGTCGGCCATACAGATTCCCAGGTTCATCCACAACTAGCAAAATTATGCAGCTATCTGTGCTTCCTTAAAGGTAGTTTCTTGACAAACTATCTACCTTACAGTCTAAGTAATTTTTTCTGAGATGCAGGTGAAGTTTTACAATGAAATGGTACTTGTAGTAAAATTTAGTCTAACATATAATATAGTTATAATTCATCATCTAGAAATCATACACAAAAATCAACCTAAAATAAAAGAATTAAGATAAAAAATGTGGTATATATATATAAAATGAATTTTATTTAGCCATTTAAAAAATCCTGTCATTGGCAAAAACATGGCTGGAACTGAAGATTAATTAAATATGTTAAATGGCATAAACAAGAGAAAAGACAATTTGGGGCTTATATGTAAAACTTCCTCTGATTTCACTTATACATGGAATGTAGAAACGGCTACAGCACGGAAGCTAAAGTTGTCCAGTGGTGACAAGAGTCTGGGGAGTGGAGGAAGGACAGAGGACAGTGACCAATGAATACTAAATTGCAGTTAGGAGGAGGAAGTTTTGGTGCACTACTGTACAGTATGGTTAATTACAGATAACAATTATTTACTAGATATTTTAAAAGAGAAAGGCTATTCAATATGTGACCATAATGAGTTGAAAATGTGTGAAGAGACAGATGGCTAACCTGATAAAATTACACAATGATTAAAACATTTACCTCCCCAATAATTTTGTTTTTATGTACCCATTCAAAAATAAATTTTACACTTTTTTTTTCTTCTTTAAGGCAGGGTCTCACTGTGTAGTCCAAGCTGGCCTTGAACTCACCATGTTACCCAGGCTGGCCTCGAACTTGTGTGATCTTCCTGCCTCAACCTCCCAAGTGCTGAGATTACAAGTATGTGTCACCAAAACCAGGCAAAACAATTTAAAGCTTACTTTAAAACTTTAAATTTCAAAACTTACTTTAACGTTTCAGCAAGAAAGAAGCTCTGTTGTACATCATCATGTGTAGGAGTGGAGGAATACACATCTTTGACCCCAGAAAAACCACCACTGACTCGGCAATATTTTTCAATAGCCTATAAAAGAGGACAAACAAAACAATCAACTCCATGGATTTTGAGTTTTAAAGGACAAGAATTACAATCAAAAGTTCACAGAAATTTGTATGAGAATTTGACTGAAGAATAATATAGTAGTTATTTTTTTAAGCATAAGGATAATACAGATGTGCCTGATCAAGTTTCAGTCCTGTGAATGCATCACTAAATTAACTGGTCACTAAATGAGGACAAGTCTGCAGCATGCACAATATTAAGAACAAAGAAATGGTCAAAGGAAACTCGAATGTGATGACTTTGCGTTTATTTTCACAACTCTCACATGCAATACTGTATGTAAAACAGAATAAATCTGTAGCACAATCACAAAAACCACAGTAGTGTATAAACAAGGTGTAGTATACAAAAAAAACATGAGGTTCTATAAACAAGATGTACGGAACTGTACAAAAAAAGGTATGAATCAGAGTGGTCATACGTCTGAATAGTCATTAAACAGACGGGACACTCCACGAGGAATATCTGTAATTTTACTAAAAAGTGAATTTATACTGGTGTTTCTCTTGCTAATAAGACTCTTTCATCTTTCTATGCTATGTTTTCCTAATACAGGTGTCTAATTTATATCATTCTTTCTGAATTAGGCACCTCTCTGGCATAATAAAAGCTGACAAATCCTGACAAATCAAGACAAATCTGTTTGAATTAAAAATCTGATTTTTTATCAATTCCAAGAACAAATAATAATCTATAGCATTCTAAAAAAAATATTACTTAAACAAATAATAATCTATAGCATTCTAAAAAATATTACTTAGGAGCTTTCTGCAATTACAGTAATAAAAAGAGAATACGCACTGCAAACACATCCCTGGCAGATGTGCACTGCCACAGCCCTGTGAGGGAGGGACCACAGGTGATACCAGGCAGCAAGAACAGCTCGTCTATCCACTTGCTACAATGATTACAACTTAAAGAGTTAACAATTCTGACATATTTATTTTGCTGAAAGCTATTTTAAGAGCTTTACGTGAATTAAAATGTACATTTTACAGCAATTCTACAAAGATAACCACTTCTCAGGTAGAAAATTGAGCAGGGCAATTTGCTCCACATTATAAACTACTGTACTCTACTGCTTGACTGGGAGTTAAAATTTTAACTTATATTTCCTGTTTTATCTTTGGATAAGCTAAATAAAATATACTAAATCAACTGGAATCTACTCACACCCTGCTTCAAACTTAAAGCAACCAAATATTTTGCTTACCATAACAATTAAACCATTCACAAAAAACTAAAGACATCTATGATTCTTTCTCTACTCTTCTTAACGCTGAAACATGGCCCAAGAAAGGGATGGTTTTCTATTATTCTGCCATGGATTGTTGTTTCTAGTTTTATCATTTTTTTCTCAACTTCTTTTCTAATAACAATATAATTAACATTGAAATGTGTTTAATCAAACTTAATTTTATAGCTATGTTTGAAAGCACTCTTCTCAGAGTTTGCCAAGACAATAATATACTTTGACCGCAAACATTTTTCAGTACTGTTCTTAATGATGTTTTCACCACCACATGAGCTATCAGAAAAGGGAATGTAGCACACAGACAACTAAGCTTCAAGTCATTTGGATCATTTCTTGAGAAGCTTCTATGCTTCGTACACTCAAGCTTGGGAATCTGCATTTGTAAATGGAATGGCCAGAACTACAGAAGAAATGATGTATCACAACTATCTTACGCTTGCTTCTCTTCACTTTCTTCAAACCCAACCAAGACCAACAGTGACACAAAAACAAATTATACTTAAGACATGAGGTCTCTCATGTCATACTTCCCAAACTTGAACTTAGAACGTAATTATTCCAGTACTTACTCTTGTCAGCTTATACTTTGAGTCTCTGTGTGTCTATACAGTCTGTAAAGCCATTAAAATTAGATCAATATGGGCTAAAGTTTGAGTTTATCAAACCTATTCTTAATGGGTAAGAGCAGGGGCATACTGTAGGAAAGTATATATCAGAAAAAGACAAAAAAATTATTTGTCCTATAGTGTTTCTCAATGACAAATGTGTGTTTACTATTACCTTCAATAATTCCTATCCTATGATATTCAGATATATTTTCCTCTTTCCTCTAAATAAAAACCATTAAATATTAGGGTACATTCAAGTCCGACAGACTCATTAGAAGGCTTCTTTATACATCTATTTCTCTTACATAAAGTACTAATCTATGTAAGTATTAGTAGCCCACTGATAACAACAGCTGAACGCATGTGCCAACAGTTTGGCTATCTTCCTAATTGCAGCTGAACCTTCCTACAGAATTTCACTGGCAGCTGTTTGCTCAACTTTAACCTCAGAGGGCCAAGGAAAAACAGCCTCCGTTCCTATTCTGCGGAACCACCTTGATTCTACCAATACTCTCTCTAGTTTAAGTCCATAAGAGTTAACCTAGGTCTGAACGGCAGAACACATGCAAGTGTTAGTTTAAGACAACATATTACTCCTAGATTATGGAGGCAGTCTCCAAAACTCACCAATTTGTGGATGACAAATATGTCCTTTTCCCACTAAACAAAGCCTTCAGTAGTTCCTTCCCCCTTAAAAAACTTAGCATTTCTGGAACAGATTCTCAAAGTAAGGGAGGAAATGGAAAGGAGAAAAAAACTGATCCTAAGGGCTCTGATATAAACAAAAGTCCTCATCACTTTCTGTAAGAAATACTTTAGGCAGCATCTTAGTTTTTCTCTTGTGACTGGGCCTAAAACCCCAACACCTAGTGTTAAAGAGGGAAAGGTTTACTTAGCTCACAGTTTGTAAAGTGTTCAGTCCATATCGGCTGGCTCCAAGGTAGGGTGGCGCATGGCTGAGGGGCAACAATTCATGGTAGTGGAAGACAGCAAAAGCAACAAGCACAAAAGGGGGAAACAAACCTCTTTGTGCCCTTTTTATCTTACCCAGACTGCTGAGATTAGGGCAGTGTCATTCCAACCAGTGGACTGATCCAACAGTCACTCAGCCTTAATCCCAGCATGCACTGCACTTTAAATCGATTGCCAACTCTAGATTCAGCAATCCCCCAAAAGCCCCATCTAAAAGTACATAAGGTTCTGGGGATCATCTAGACACAGACCATAACAGGCAGTAAGTAACTGATATAAATTACTGAGTAATGTTTATTATTAAAGCATAGTGTGCATGAGTATATTGTTGTTTTATTTCAAAAACAACTAAGTAAAATAAGTACCCTTGATTTGGTATGTAAGACTATCTTTGTAATGTATCCAACTTTGCCACTGTGAAACATGTCCATTATAAAAACTGGTGTACATCTTGTACTAAAACATACTCTTGTACATATCTTTAATCACTGTATCTAGACTGAAAGTGCAGATTAAGTACTTTGAACATGAATACTCATATTAGTACAATTTAACCTAACAAGTAAATCTGAGAAAAATTAAAAAAAAAAAACTCCCCAGGAATAAATTTATCTTTTCACAAAAGACTAATGGATTTTTCCTCTCCAAGAACTAAGAGTCAAGGAATTCCTCAACAGCTAGCTTCCTTTACCTGCTAACCCTTAAAAATTCCTAATTTCAAATATATGTATATTTTGTCTTTCATTCCAGAACAATTTCACAATTTTCTGATTCTTCTTACAATAACCCGCTAAGGAGTTACTCAAAACACAAGCTGAAGTGAGCAGGGAGCATCTACCCAGGATAATTATTTTTCTCTAGCAGTTAGGGGCTAAGAAACAGGTTTAGAAGCCAGGCACAAGGGAACGTGCCTATCGTCCTAGCTCTCCAGGAGGCTAAAGCAGGAGGATCTCTAGTTCAAGTCTCTGTTGTACAACTGTTACTCTATGAGATAGTTTCAGAATTCTAAAAGGGCTGGGATGTAGCTCCTGCTAAGGCTCTGGTTTCAATCCCTAATACTGCTAAATAAATAAATGTATGTATGGAAAGTTAAACTTATTTTTATCACTGTACTAAAAGTTGCCTTTTAAGAAACTATAGCTATTCAGTAAGAATGTACACTACTAGAACGTACTTCTATGTAGAGAACAAAACAGGATTCCAACATTCATTTCTACTGTTCAAGAAAGTTAACCTGACTAACAGCTCCTTCATCATCAGAAATATGACAGCTGCCGAGAGCCAGTGAAATGAAGCAACGTGGATGAGGATACATGGCACTACTGGAGGGCTTGACTTCGTATCCTTTAGATAAATGAAATACTGCCTTGCTTACCAGGGCTGCTTCCCATCCCCACTGCCTGTATCTTGGATCATGAGTGAAACGCCACAGGTACCAGTAGGTTTCAATTACTTCTGGACGGAGGATGTAGTATTTCTCAGCCTGCCGGACAGCTACAGCTTCTACTGCACCATCAAACTTGAAGGACTCAGGACCTAGTTTTAATGCTGTAACATGACAAAAGAAACCAGTGAATACAATAAATCACTTGTATTTAGTTTGTAAAAGCTAACTCCCCTGAAAGAATGGGGTGTTAAGTAATTTTTGTTGTTTTATTTTTATTGTCTCTGTTCTACAAAATGAGTCAATTTAAAACATCATCTCAGGAATGCTGTTAAGAAACGTGAATACTAGACCAATAACAGAACTGTTTTATGCCTTCAGCATATTATGAATTTCTTAGGAATATAATCTTTGAACATTTTAACCTGTAAGTATCCAATATAACATACACCATGAGTTCACATTTAATGTAATGAATGATTAGTTATAACAATTGTACTATATTTAATAATTTTAGTATGTCTGCTACATTAAATTCTTGTTTCAGATCTACTGTGTAATAGATGGTCAACACCTACCTAACAACACACCTAATTATCATAGGCCCTAATATAAACACTTAAAATATCCATTCTGGTCCCTCAATAATTTACTAACTTTAGGCAAATATATATAAATATATAAAATGTAAAAAACTAATTATATATATAATCAATACATCCTATCATCAATCTGATAATTTAGTTCCTATCAATAATGCAGATCACTGACATTACCTATACATGATACCAACATTAAATTACCCTAAAAAAAACTTGCTCAGGGTTCATTTGACTTATTTATTTTTTAAAGAAATGTTACCACTGATTTAATGACAAACCTGAAGAGTCAATTTCATCAAAAGTTCAATTCCTTACTGCATAAAAATAACATGACAGATTTATCAATTAGGATAAACTTTAAGGTAATCAATATTTGTGTCATGGTACCTAAGAACAAATGAATCCTGAAAGAGAAATTCAGTTATTTCAAAAAGGAACAATACAACTTTTGAAAACACAAAGAAGTTAATACCTCTTCAGATTTCGGGGAGCTCATGCTATAATACAGAAATAACCATTTGTAAAGACAGAGAAAACCACGAACAGTCTAGTGCAGTGTTGAACTCTTTTATCATCACGGTACCTCTAGTGAGCACCTTTAGGCTTTAAAAATATATGTCTAATTGCCTTCTTCCATGAAATATTAGTAACAAATATACAAGGAATATCAATTTGACTGCATGCATACTATCCTTTAAAAATGAAGGGCAGGGGCCAGGGAGATGGCTCAGTAGAATAAGCACTTCCCTGGCAAGTGCAAGGGCATGAGTTCAATCCCCAGTTCCGCAAAAAAAAAAAAAAAGGCAGAATTTTTTTACTTCACAGCAATCAATTTTTGTCACCATTAAAAATAATTTCAAAGGCACCGGGGAGATAGCTCAGTGAAATAAGTGTTTGCTTGGCAAGCACAAGGTCCTGAATTTGAACCCTAGTACCACCAAAACAAAACAAAACAGAACAATTTCATTTTCTAGGCAAAGATAAATGAAGTTGAGCCCAGAAGATAGCTCAGTAGCATAAGCATCTGTCTGGCAAGTCAAGGTTCTAAGTTTGATCCCTGGTACAAAAAAAAAGTAAATGAAGTTCAAAAAATATTAATTTCTAAAAGTCCTTAGCAGATCTTTTTTAGTGAAAGGGAAACAACTCCAAGAGTTATTAGTGCACTGAGTAAAGGACAAAGAACCAATTAGCTAGATAACCAACCACTGTCATCTCTGGGTATTATTCTTCTCATAAGAGTACAACCAAGACAATGAATATAACCTAAGTCCATCAATTTTGTGTTCAAGTAACTGGTTTTACATAAACTGCTATAAATGGCTAAAATGATTATTAAAATAATGCCATTCCATATATCTCTAAACATTCTACGTCTTGTCTTTAAGACAATTATTTTCTCAATTATTTTTTCCTAAAAAGGCAGGAGAGTTCAGAATTTCTGAAACGATGCAGGAGCTGGATGTGGTGGTACAGGCTGGTAATCCAAGCACTGCAGGAAGCTGAAGCAGAAGGGCCCCAAATTTGAGTCCAGACTGGGAAAATCGAGAGAGCCTGCCTCAAAACTTAAACTTTCTTTAATGGATTGGGGATGTAGCTCAATGAGAAGACCCTGGTTTTAATCAGTCCCTAGTACCACTTTTAAAAAAAGAAAAACATTTCTGAAATTCAATTTCTTAAGAAAGTGGATTACCGTGATAGTATAAACTATTGTGAAGTGAAGGTATCTACATATTTGCTTCTTAACGTCTGGTCACATTTTTACAATTAAGAGATTATTTTCACTAAGTCGTAAGCCTTATTAACATTCTTACCGGTCCTGTCATATGATTCGTGGCACGTACGTGCAATCTCTGCACCTAGCTCTAAATAATGCCCAGCTTTATCCTTTCTGGAACCGTCCGCTCCTAGTGCAAACATTCCCCCAGCAAAACAGGCCAAATGCCCCATCTTCTTTTCCAAATGCCCATTCTTCCACTCTCCAATGAAGACAAGGCCCCCTCGAGATTTCTTAACAAGATGTTTTTCTATAGCCTACAAGCAAGAGAAGATATTCAAAATTTTAGAAGACAACTATTAGTTTTTATATATTCAAACATATATTTCAGGTTGCCATAAAAATTCAGTAATATCTTGTACAACAGAAACTTTTTTCAAAATGGGAGACTTAATTTACAATAACAAATTTTTGGAACAAGTGTTCAAATTGTATATAACTGAAAGGACTACCCCAGTCACTACTCTAGCAGGAAAGGAGAGTGTTGGCAGTGTACCATTCTACCTAACATCAGCATAATAGCCTTTGTCTACTTGAAATTTATAATCAGTCAACTAAGATCATGATAAGAAGTTGTAAGACAAAAGTCTCCACTAATTCAATTTCTATTTCATACAACAAAATCTGAATAGAAAAAAGTCACATCAATAAGATATAATTTTCAATAACTAGTTGAAATGGTTCTTCATTTTCTACATAAACATGTTAGCTGGCACAGTACTTTAAAAAATACTATTAAATTATCCACTTTACACATTTTAAAACTTTCAAAACTGACTGAAAGTTAAATACTTATTCCTTAACTATTTAGTCCTTTACTTCTCAAATGAAGACATCTGCTTTGGATGCGACTACCTGAAGAAGAGGGCCCATATCAATTTTATTAACAAAGACATGGGGATAATGAAGTATTTTATATTAAATTTGAATACAACAAAAAGTAGAATATAAGAATTACAGTTCATTTTAAAATTAGATTTAAGAGCTTTGCTTCTGTTGGCTTATGATTTTAGGCATTGCTAGGGGACCATGAATAAATTTTCTGTATTTGAAGTATTTCTATGGAAAAATGTAAGAAACTGAATTAATTTAGTTATCTTCGGTAGAAATTATTGTACATGCTTAGGGACTATATTTTCTTTCTGATAATAAGCTCTTTCCAAGAGTCAACTGACATTTTTTATTTGGAGGTTTCTGTCTCACAAGCTCAGTAACAACAATCAACTTTGGAAAAATGAATCCTATAATCTCCACAATAATGTTAAGTTTTACAGAATTGTAGGGACTATGTCTTATTCATCAGCTTCTACTCCAGAGCTATCATTTAGCATACATTCGATAAATTAATTATAAAACTTTATAAATCTATAATGTTCTCAGATAACTGTATTTGACCTATTAGGGGAATGGGAGATAGCTGATAACCAAATGACAATGGACTACTATTGAATTTCAAGCTTTTGTTATTGTTTTCTTCTACCCCTAATACTGTGACGCGCATGCACACACACACACGTATATAAAATTAGTCTCTTCAGTAGGAAGACAACGTTTCTCATTCTTGTGAACCTCATGATACTAGCAGATTTTCTACATATAAGGTGCTCAATAACTACCTAAAGAACTATATCTATGGCTTTGTTACACATTTTCATATAATATTTTTATTATTTTTGTAGTTTTGCTCATAGCAACAAAAGTATTACCACAGTCTAATTAGAAGATACCCAATCATATCCTCATGAACTTACTGGACTAAGGTAAACTACTGCTAAGAGTAGGGCTTTTATCAGCTTACTTTTGAACTCCTGAAATTGTATGAGTTTCTTGTCTCTAAAACTATGAAAAATAACTAAGAATTCAACGTATTTAAAACTGCTGAATGTTAAGAAGAGGTAACAATGAGTTTTTAACTCACATCTTCACAAACACTGGCGTTGTTTCCTTGCCCCAAAGGATCTCGAAAAAGGATTTTTGTTCACTGTTTTAAAAATTAAGACTAAACATAAACATGATCAAAACATAAAGCCTGTAACTAAGAAAACAGACGGGAACCACGGATACTGAAACTGGGAAGAGCAGAGGACAAGGGCGGCAAGGATTCAAGTACAATAGCTCAAAGGCAAATTTTACAAATGACTCATTTCAAATTAGAATGAACTGTAAGTTGTCATTCCTAGTTTATCTGTGTATTCAGTATGGTATTTATTTTACAGTTTGTTCATGTGGTTTCTTAACAGAATGGCTACTGAAGATAAACTGGCATCACAAAAATTGCATATATGAGCTCATGCCTCAAAATGCAAGTTAACCAATTATTATTAAAAAATACTTAGTTGAGTAATAATGAAAACACAATATATATAAAATAAATGTTAAGATTTATATTACTCAAAGCTTATATAACAGATTATCCATGGAAAATAGTTTTAAATTATATGGTTAACTTTCAGAATAGTATCATACCTTTAAAATATACACAATTAGAAAGCAATAACAAACATAAAATAATGTAATTTTTCTTTTGGCAAGAATTAAATAAAAGAGTAAACTTGGAGACTGCTTGAAATTTTAAGCATATGGATAAATATAGAAAATTTTTTTCTCAATTTTTTATATCCTCAAAAATAAAACAAGAAAAGATGACAGTAAGGCCAGAAAAAAAAAAGAACTAAATAAAAGAAAAAAATAGTTCTAGATTAAGACTATTACAAAAATAGCAGGAAACTATGAACAGACGATGACTATGGTACGTGACATGATACTTGCCCAAAATATAAAATAATAAATATAATTCATTTGTTTAAGTTTACTGAAGACCTATCAGTTTGGGGGCTTGTGCTAAGAGCTGAGACAATGACAAATTGATGTCTGCCTTCAATGGAGCCCAAAGTCTAGTGGAAATGACTAGGGCTATTTCCACCCCACATTTCTAAGATATTCTTAGCTAATTCTGCCTAGATAATGATCTTTTTTTGTATCATTAACATTTCTAGGTTTAAATTTTAACAACAAAGAATGAACATTCTCTAAATATTCAAAATTTAAGGCTTCACAAAAAAATTTTAGCAATCACCCTGAAATTTAGATTCTTAATTATATTGTAATTTTCAATTTCTTAATACAACCAGTCCAAATACTTACTGAGTGCAAAGCACTGTGTGACACAAAGTCTAATTTTCATGAATTTAAAAAAACAAATATTGTGTTTTTAAAACTGTGATTAGGGCTCTAAAAAGTATATAAAAGGTAGTAATTTTAAAATCTAGGCTGGGGAGGTAGCTCAGTGGCATAAGTGCTTGCCTTGCAAACACAGGTCCAGAGTTGAAACCCCAGTACCACAAAAAAAAATACTGTGGGGCCAGCCAATAGCTCAGCAGATTAAAGTGCCTGCAAGCAGGCACAGGGGCCAGGGGTTCAATTCCCGGGCCTGCCCTGCCGGCTCCATCCCTGGGGCATGCTGAGATGGCAACTGAGACTGGGCGTGGTGGCACGCACCTGTAATCCCAGCTTATGGGAGGCTGCAAACAGGCAGATCACTACAAGTCCGATCTATTAGTGAGACCCTGAATACCCTGTAGACCCTTCCCTAAAAAAAAAAAAAAAAAAAAAAAAAAATCTATACTGCTGAAAACCGGTTACTAACTGTATTACTATGGTACTGTTATACAAAATACAGTAGAAAAATAAATAATTAAATTCAGGAGGGCCAGGTATATAGCTCAGCAGCATAAGCACCTGCCTGGCAAGTGTAAGGTCCTGAGTTCAATCCGCAGTACAAAAAAAAAGATCAAGTGATATGTATGGGTTTATAAAATAACCAGGGAAAACAGAACTTACTAAATTGCTAACAAACTTTCTTTTTCACATCCTTTGCCTAGAAACATCCCTAGTGTTTCCTAGAATGACTATTGTTCCAAATTTACACTGTTACACACTATGATATGAAATTATATAAATAGGAAACCACATAATACCATGGTTAAGAGAGCAATCTCTGCTGCTAGAGTTCAGTTCCTGGGCCCATCATTCACCAGCTAAGTGACCTTCAACTACTTCTTAACTTCACTGAACATCAAGGTTCTCTCTCCTATGGAAAGTGGGGAGGACGACCTGAATCTGCAGTACGCAGAGGGCCAGAACTGTGTGCACTGCGTGGAGTACTAAGTAAGTGGCTGCCATTATTGTGCACTCTCAATTTTTCAATATGGGATCAAATGACATTTGAAAGACAAAATGTTCATGGAAATGTATGTAAAGTCAGAAGATTTTCCAGTTTTTGTAGACATCAACTAAAAGTAACTAAAGTACATTTTAAAAAATATATCAACTCTTTCAATAATCTCTTTATAATGTCACAAATAAAACAATATAGATTATTTATTAAAATAGATACAATTTCTATAGTGAATCTAATAAACTTATATGTGTATTTCCTAAATGAATACAATTAAAAATTACATTTGTTTAGCCATTTCAAATAATTATATATTCAGTATGGGCAATAATCACCTCAATAGCATCATCATACATCCTTCTTGCCTCATGGTCTGTTTTATCTGACATCAACCAGGCTTTCAGTAAATATTCATAAAAACTGTCTCCTAAACCACCAACTGATGTGTGATCTGAAACAAAAGAGAAAAGGAAAGGATACAGATGCAGGAAAGAAAAAACAGAATACCATTAATAAAGTAATATTTTCCAATTATAATGACTTCGTTACTTGTCAGTAATTTTAAAATTATACTGATATCCCCATTTCCATAACATTTCAAGTTTAGTCCAATAAGAGTATATCATTAAGTTTTTTCTCTACACATGTACCCACTTTTCTAGGAAATCTCTGGATATGAAATTTTGTATATTTAGTAGTTTTTTTTCTTGAATCACATAGTTTGTACACTGCCATATAACCAGACTTTTCCATAACTGAAAATGCTTTTTATCTTTTAATGATATTCGATATGTAACTAAATACAAGGGGTACACTTAAATCTGATGTTAACCCAAAAGGGCTCATGCAAAGCATGGGAAATACAAAATGAACAAAAAAGGAAGCTGATCCTAATTATTTTTACAGTACTAGGAATTAAACCTGAGACCTTTGCACTGAGCTACATCCTCAATCCTTCAGTATGCACCATCACACCTGGTTTCACTACTTAACACAAGAAAGCGTGTTCAATTCTACAAGTGATCAAATCAAAGAAACTTTTAAAGACAATATTCCATTACTGTCTATGAGATCTGCAAACATTTTAAAAAGTTGGTAATACCTAATAAAGAATAAGATACAGTTGTTTGAACTGAAGGATAAATTTGTAGTAGCTAAAAATACTGAATCTAGGAATCCTAGTTCTTGGAATTATCTTCTAATAATACAGAATACCATAAAAATAGATGCTTTTAAAAACCTTATATTGTTGCTTGTATTAATAAGTGAAACATAACCTGAAATGTGTAAGGAAGCTGCTAAATATATTACATTATAAACATAATGTAGGAGAAGATCTCCACCCTACCCCACCCCCCAGCCAGTAGACTTCAGTTCCTTAGCTGCCCAGGTAACAGCTCCTATTCCATTTCTTAGAAACAGCTGGTCACTGTGATGCACAGCTAGCCAGTCATTATGATGCCCACCACATAAACCAAGCCCGCCTGACAAGCCACTCTCCTCTGCACTTCCTGCCTGCACATCCAATAGGAGCCCTCGGCCGCCAGCATCAGGGCCTGATGTTCTGGGAATGATCCTGAGCAGCGCCCACCAACGTGCATAAATAGACCTCCAAATCCTGGGTGTCCTTTCAGTATTTCTGCTTGCCCTTGCAATACTTAAATCAATCAGCAGGCTCAATAATCTAACACTGAAGGGTATGTATTTTTATGCTGTTATGTGGAAGAGGGAGGAAGTTAATAATAATGTACTTTGATTCTACTAAAAATTTTTGTTTAAAGAATCTTACTGTACATAGAGGAACAATTTGAAAAGGCAACTGCTAAAGTCCTGAAATTTTAACTTTATTCATAAATATATTACTGGAATATATTTAATCTTATATAATTAAAAAACTATCAGGGCCGGCCAAATAGCTCAGTGGATTAAAGCGCCTGCAAGCAGATGCAGGGGCTGGGGTACAATCCCCCGGCCTGCCCTGCCGTGCTGGCCCTGCCCCCACCCCCCACCCTTGGGACACGCTGAGACAGCAATTGAGACTGGGCATGGTGGCGAACGCCTGTAATCCCAGCTCTTGGGAGGCTGTAAACAGGCTGATCACTAGAAGTCTGATCTAGTAGTGAGACCCTGAGCACCCTATAACCCTTCCCTAAAATACAAAAATAAATAAAATTACCATCTTTTGTTGCATAAAGTAGTAAATGAAAGGGGCTACTGTTTATCCTAAGCAATGTCTACTAACATTCCAATAACTGGAATGTACCTGAAATAGCCTTCATCTCAAATTCCTGTTTCTCACTTATTTTTTTCTGTCATAAGTGTACATGTGAACTAAGTTTATCTGATGTGGTCTTCAGACTCTACTATCAATTGCCAAATATAATCCTTTTTCTCCGCTCTCTCATTTTAGAACTGTTTTGCAAGATTCACACAAAATGCTATTTAGTTTCAAGTGAGATTTGGTAGATTAGCTGTTGTCCTCCACTTCAGTAACTAGAGGAAGGTCTCCTCTACTTTATACAGTTTCTCAGTGCCTAACATTAAATGATTGGGTTTTGTGAGGGGCAGCTGGAAGAGTAGAAGGCAGGGCTACCATATGAACCCTTCCTCAAATTTCAGATTATGTGGGAAGTCAATAATTAAATTTCAAATAGCTTTCAATTCTCAACATAGCTACATTTAATAATTTTATAGTGATAGATACATTATGTTGACAGTTTATGGAGGTAAGTTACACAGATACTAAATTAATTCTAACAGATGAACCATCTTAATAATCACGAAAGTTAATACATACTTATAAAATAGCTTACAATTACAGGAGACTAGTGTAGATGAGGAAAGTTCCACACTCAAAGTGTTTTTGGGAGACCTAAAGGCTACTGATGTCTTCATAACAAATAAAATAGGGATTTTATATTTTATGCAAACTTTTAAAACAGAATTATCAAAACAACTAAAACAAATACTCATCAATATTGCAACCTCAGTATTTTTTTTCAACTTCAATTTTGTAGTTATACCAAAACAGCATAACTAGTACCGTAACGTTACCATCTCTCCTGCTACTTGGTCCTTTCTCAGGATTCAACTGCTTAAAATGACCATGGGCTTCAGCTGCACTTGTATTTCAGTCATTACTTTTTGGTATACTTTCAGTTTCTCCTAGACTTTCTGGCTGCCTCTTTTATCATCTCTTTTTCTCCTAGCCTCTCAATCACGTTACGTGCACGTACTCTGCGTCACCTCCTCTCTTCTTACCCTCAGAGACCTTCCTCAAACCGGACTGTTCTCAAAACATACTCCACAGCTGCCACTTTGTTTTCTTTGTTCCCAGAGTTACACTCACTGTCCCCTCACTCTTACATCTTGGTCTACACCTCTTTTACTGAATAAAATTCTTAAATAATTTCCTAATAAAGCATGTTTCATATAAACCTTGTTATTTGAAAATGTCTTATGTTCTCTTAATTTTATGTTTTTTAAAGTTGGAAGTAACTTTCCCTCAGAGCTTCTTCAAAGTAGGTACCCAAAACCTCTCACAAGTAACCTGACCATGTTTCCTTATGTTCTCAACCTCCCGTTCTCATGGCCAACTTACCTTCCGATGGTATAGTCTTCATTCTAATGTGAGTTACATTTAAACTTAACCTTTTGTTCTGTTTTCTACCCAAAGTAGAAAACCCCACTCACTGTGCTATTTGGCTTTTCAAACTAAAAGTAACTTTTAGTTCTGGGAAAATTGTTTTCTATTATTTGTTCTATTTCTTCCTCCACTCTACTTTGCCAGTTCACGCCTCTGAAACTCATTTGCTGGAAACTGAACTACTTGACTAATTTTCCATTATTCTTTACTCTCAAATTTTAGTCTGGCTTGTTTCTCTACATTTTTGCAATATTTTAAAAGATAAATTTTATTTTTAGCACTTTCACTGAAATTTAAGTTCGTATTAGTTATAGAGATCAATGGTCTTCATTTTGGGAGATGTGTTCATGCGTATTACATGCTTTGACCATTTCAGCCCCTTGTCCCGACCCTTGCTCTCACCTTCCTGCTTCCTTTTCCTCTTCTCTAACCGTCCCCCTTCTGTTCTCTCTCCTTCCTTCCTTCACTCCCCTCCAACTCTTGCCTGAATCCACATATCAGGGGAAACATGCAACACCTAAGTTTGCCTTATTTTGCTTACTATAATAATCTCTACTTCCATTCATTTTCCAGAAAATGACAACTTTTTTTACGGCTGACATTCGACAGCATACATATGCAACATTTTCTGTATTCATCTGCTGACGGACACCTTTGTAGGCTGATCCTACAGCTTTGGTGGTGTGAACTGGGTAACAATAAACATGGGTGTGCATGTATCTCTACCATATGTTGAGTATAATTCCCATAATGGCTAAAACAATTTAATTCCACCAATAATGTATCTGTTAGCCCACATCCTTGCCATTTTTTTCCTCCTTGATATTCCGGTTTATAGCCAGATGTTCCCTGAAACCTGGCTCATGTACTCCTAAGTGGGGCTTTTCAGAGGTGGCTGGACCTAGGATATGTGGTACTAAATCAGTGCACTGAGTAGAATTAGCAGAGTTCTGGGTGTGGATAATGGGAGCCTCACCCTGGGTGGGTGTGGGTGGCATCAACCAACAGGCTTGTAGCCTGCATGAAACATAAAGGGAGAGAGGGAAGCAGGCTTGCTGTTGTTGCTTGCTGCCTCTTTGTCTTCAGTCTGCTTTGCAATGGACTGTTCATCCTCTAAGAGGCCCTTCTGACATGCAACTCTGTGCTAGAGCCAGAAAACAGACTAAAGCCCTATCAACTGTGAACTGAACTAAACCTTTCTCTTTTAGCATGTGGCTTTTAGGTATTTGTCTGTGCAACAAGAAAGTAACCAAGGGGTGGGGGAGATAGCTCAGTGGTGTAAGTGCCTCCTGGCAAGCGCCTGCCTGGCAAGTGCAAGGGCCAAGGAGCAATCCCCAGAGCCGCACGCCGCGCCAGCCCCACACCATGCCAGCCACCAAAACCAGGTGTGGTGGTGCATGCCTATAATCCCAGCACTGGGAAGGCAGAGAGGAGGGTCACTGTGCAGCCCAAGCTGCGCAGCAAGGCCCTATACCAAATAAGGAAACAAATAAAAGATTTTTTTAAAAACAAAGTTAACCTTAAGACACCAGGTGGTAGCCATTCTAAGTAGGGTTACAGGGAATCTCAATATATTTTGATTTGTATTTTGCCAATGGCTAAAGATGGTGAATATTTCTTATATTTTTTGCTAATTTGTACTTCTCTCTGAAAAGTTTCTGCTCACTTCACTTGCCCATTTACTGACTGCATTACTGGTCTTGTGTATGTGTAAGCTGGTTTCTCATGTATTCTGATTACTAATCCTCTGCTAGAAGAGTAAATGGCAAAGATTCTTGTAGGCTGTCTCTTTGCTGGGTTAATTG